GACAAATGGATATTTAAATATAAAGGTTTTCTGAAAAGACCTTGTTCCTGTGAGAGGGGAAGGAGACATCTCTCTCATGGAACACACAATACGCTTCCTACTTCCACTGAATTGTACAAGACAGTCAGTCAAAGTTTATTTGCCTAAATTGAGAGTTTTGCTTTTACTATGGTCAAAATGCAACAATCCCACATAGTTGACTTTTTTTTTTTTTAACATCCATGGGAGAGACAGAAATGCAGACTGATGTAAACCCTTTTATGTAACTGGAGTGAACTCATGATGGGTATCTCAGTATATGCTGATTAATATCTTTAAAACCAAAAATTTTTCCTTAAAGATTAGTATCTGAAGGGGCTCTTTCATGAGTGCATTTGATCATGTCAACAAAACCATACAATCTGTTTTCAACCATGTAAAGAAGTATAGATGCTGACAGCTGTTTTTCAACTCGCTTGACAAAAATATCCAAAGATATTTGCATTTGAACTTATTTTTTCAGCATAATTCCAAAATGCTGCTTCATTTACATAGCTAATAGACCCTGAATGACCCCAGAGCCTATGGAACTAATGCATTATTAGCAGAAATTACCCTTCTTACCTTTATATATTCCCTGGGCGAGGTCAGAGCTGAAGAAGTATTTGGGAATCATCAGCATATAAGGGGCACTTAAAGCCATGAGATGAAATTGACTCATTTTAGAAAATTTTACTGAGTTCCTGCTATGTGCCAGGCACTGTCTCAATCACTTAGGGATTCAATAATGAGTAAAACGAATAAAATGCCCACCCTCAGCCTGTTGAGAGGCAACAGACAGTAAAGTGATGGTATGTAGTATGTTCAGTGGTGGTTAGTGGTATAGAGAAAAATGAAGCAGGGAAATGGGGAGAGGGAATATACATGTGTGGGTACAGTTTTAAGTGGGATATAATCACTGGAGTCCTCACTGAGATGACAAATAGGTACCTGAAGGAAAGGGAGCAAGCAAGCCACTTAGGTATCTGAGGAAGGTTTTTGAGCAGGGGGGATAATAGCAAGTGCACAGCTTCTGAAATGGGAGCATGCCTAATGTACTCTGGGAAGCCAGTATAGCTGACGCAGAAGTAGTGAGATTTTGCAGGCAATTTTAAGAACTTTGGCTTTCACTGTGAAGTAAATAGGAAGCTGTTGGATGAATCTGAGCAAAGGAATGACATGACCTCACACATGGTTTAATAATAGTCTGGTTGCAATATGTAGAATAGACTGAAAAGGAAAGAAAAATCCCAGAGTATTTGAACTACTGTAATAATCCAGGCTAGAGATAATAGGGGTTTGGGCCAGGGTGTGGCAGTGAAGGTGATAAATGAGAGGGGTTCACGTTCTAGATAAAGCCAGTAGGATTTGCTGATCGACTGGATAAGGAGTCTAAAATAAAAAGTCAAAGCTTCCTCTCTCCTTTTTTCTTTTTGTTTTGCCTGAATGACTGGAAGTGAGATGCCATTAGTAAGATGAAGATGATTGTGGAAATTATTACTGATTAGGAAGGGGAGGGATCAGGGGTCCAGCTTTAGACACATGGTTTGAAATGCCTTTTTGTGATTCAAGTGGTGATGTCAAGTAGGCATTTGGACATACATATCTAGAATTCAGGGGAAGAGGTTCAGACTGGATAAAAATTTGAGGAGTCATCAAAAAATCAAACCCACCGCCAGTGTCAATTCCTACTGATAGGAACCCTGTAGGACAGAGTAGAATTGTTACATTGGCTTTCCAAGGCTGTGAATCTTTATGGAAGCAGCCTGCCTTATTTTTCTTCCATGGAGTGGCTGGTGGGTTCAAACCACCAGCCTTTGGGTTAGCAGCTGAATGCTTTAATCACAGAGCCACCAGGGCTCCTGTGAGGAGCCATCAGCATAGAGATTTTTTTTAAAGCCGTGAGACTAGAGATGGCCAGGGTAGTATTTTTAAATAAGAGGTCCAAGGACTGAATTCTGAGGCGGCACACCAGCGTTGAAAGGCTAAAGAGTTAGCAGTGAGCAGAGCCTGTAAAGGCAAAAGAGGAACACCAGAAAAGGACTATATATCCTGGTGACAAATGAAGAAAGGTTTTCAAGGAGTGGGGAGTAGTGGACCTTCTCACATACACTTGAGGGATTAAGTAAGATGAATAATTGCATCTAGAGAATAGAGGGGATGGGAAAAAAGAACCCAGATCCTACTCTTGTGAAGACTGGTCAGCATTAAGAGGATGGCTACAAAAGGAGAAAGCAGCTGAGGTAGAGTTTGGGTGGAAAATACCAATACCCATTGCCGTTGAGTCCAACTCATAGCGACCCCTCCTTGGGTTTCTGAGGCAGTATCACTATGGAAGTAGATTGCCCAACCTTCCTTCCGAGGCGTGGCTGGTAGGTTAGAACTGCCAGCCTTCTGGTTAGCAGTCAAATGCCTTAGGCACTATGCCACCAGAGCTCCCGAAAATACCAATAGTAGGCATAAAAAGCTGAGTGTCTTTTGAATGTAAAATTGACCTATTACTTTAAACAAGAAGCACAGCAAAACAATTTTGAAAAGAAACCTGGCCAGAGAAGACAGACTAAAAAGTAGACAGTGTGACTTCAGGGAACAGGAAAGAAATGTGCATAATGAGAAGTTAATTGTTTTGTTCTTGTTTCCTTTTTTATTTGCTTTTTTATATATATCTTTCAACTCCAGGTGCACTTAGAGCTGGTAACTCCCTAAAAGCAATTGGGCTATGATTCTTAGAAAAAAATATAAAGACAAAGGGCCCATCTCAGCAAAACTTTGTCATGCGTTCACTGGGACAGAATTACAGAAACTTGACATTAGGCATTTTGAATGTATCTTAGTTGAGGTTTCTTTTTCTGTATTTAAGAAGCTTTGCTTCTGTTTTTAGGACAAAATTCTGCCCAACCTCTCTTACATTTTTGCTGTACTGTTAGCTGACAGGAACTGGCTGCTGGAACAGCATACCTTGGAGGCGTTTACTCACTTTGCTGAGGTAAGTGTCAAGATCAATCCATCAGGATTCCAAAAATATTCATGGAGCTGCTTTTCTATTTCATTTGTAGAATATTCTAGTTAGAAGAAACATTGTTGGGCCCTATTGAGTCATTTTCACCTCAGTGACCCATGTGACACAGTAGAACTGTCCCATAGGGTTTTCTATTTGTGAGTCAGGTCCAACTCGATGGCACGTAACAACAACAACATTTGTGAAAGCAGATCGTAAGGTCTTTCTCCCATGGAGCTGCTGGGTGAGTTCCAACCAACCATTATGTTAGCAGCCAAGGGCTTAACCATTTGCACCACCTGAGCTCCCTGGAGGAAATATTATTAACCATGTTTTACAGGGAACAAATGACTTTGTTAAGGTCCTCTGGTTGGCAAGATGGGAACAGGCATTCAAAGTCTATTAATACGTTATCCTCTGTCTTCCAGTATTTCTAGCTTGAGTGATAATAGAATTCATTTTGAATCTGTCATTTAGGTTGATAATAATTCAGTTGATGTTAATTCGGTTCCTCAGAGAAGGTAACCTTTGGCATGGGTTGCGCCTTCATTATATTGTTGTGCAGTCATGCTACTGGTCCCAAGGGGCTTAGAGGAATTAGTATGACTGACCCAAAGTAATTAAAGTTCACACCTATACTTGTACAAAAGTTAATATTGTATTTTCCTAAGGCACCTGAAAAACTACAAGATTATCTTCTCTCGATCCTCTGGCACTAAGTACTTTCTTTTTAAATGGATTTTTTTAATTAAGATAGCTCTTAAACTCATATATTTGACTTTGCAGATTGTTGAAATGCATCAAACTTGGTTTTATCAATCTTTTAACAGGGAACCAATCATGAAGAGATAGTTCCACAGTGCCTTAGTTCTGAAGAAATGAGGAACAAAGTTGTATCCTTCCTGGAAAAGGTATTTT